AGCCTATGGTCCCAGGGGTGAAGGGAAGGAAGGAAAGTAATTTCACTGGGTTATTTCAGAACTGTCTAAAATAAGTGTTTTACTCAGCTCAGACTTTAGTCCATTATTGAATCAGCATCAGAGCTTTGGCAGTGCAAACTTACCTGACTTTCATTGTTCAAAAGGAAGGAAATAACATCTTTTTTTTTCTGATAGAATAAACACATTTTCAGACCTGCTCCCTGTGCTGCAGCCCATGTGCACTGTTAGAAAAGCAGCGACTGTGTTGGTTTTTCCTGTGTGTGTCACAGCAGAAGCTTTGATGCGTGTTTCTCAGGAGTTAGTTGCTACAGCACCCATCCTTCATCCTCTCGTGATGTCTGTTTCTGTTGTAATAAACTCGTGAGTTGAAGAAGCAATTACTTTTTTCTGTTAAAATTTTGCCATGAAAGATCTAATCTCATCCTTTCTGATTTTATCCTGCATAACGTATTCTGACCACAAGTCTGAAAATACAGCTCTTTCTGAAGAATTGCAGCAGAGTTTGGTGCAGTTTTAGAAAGTTTACAGATGTGCCACTGGGATTTGCTGTGGTTTTGTGCTTAATAATTTAAATATTGCTATTTCTGAAGATTTTCTGGAACTTAGGCTAGAGCCCTCTGGGATCATCTGATCTGACCTGCATATGAATCATAAGCCAGTAACTTGCATGTAGTTATTATTAAATTGAGCCTAAATACTCAAGCTGGACTAAAGCCTAAAGATGTTTGGCTGAAGCAATCTTCTAGAAGGGGAAAACATCAAAATAAGTTGAGTGCATGTTCCTTGGGTGTGGAGCTTCAGTGCCTAATTATTATCCCTTTTTTTCCCCCAAGTTCATAATTAAGATCTTTCTGCTTTCATTTTCTACTGTTTTTGTTATGTTGTGTGCTAGATTAGAGAGAGCTTTTAGTACTTATTCTTCCCCTATGAAAGGACAAGTGAACTGCTGACACCGCCTAGTTCTCCTTTTTCATAGCTAAACGGTTTGAACTCAGACTCTCATTTGAAGGCATTTTCTGCAGTTCTCCAGTCATTCTTGTAGTTCTTTTCTACACTCATCTGAACTTTGTTCTTATCTTATTAAAAAATCCAAATTGAAGCTGTAGTCAGTGTTTTTGGTTTCGGTAATGCTTTTTAAGATACTCTTTTGAGATTTAAAATCTTGCCTGAGTTTTACCCCAAAGCTGAAACTGAATTGTTTTACTGTTCACTTCTTTTTATGTCTCTATTTGAATGCAGCTGCTGTGGCTTTAGGAACTAAGTTTCTCACATTGTACATGGTGAATCTCATTGTGGGCTTCTGGTGGCTGTCTTAAACTTCTTAAATTTCAGCACAGTTACGTGCCAAAGTAAGTTATATGCAGAGTCTACTTCTGACTTTGTTTTGGCTAACCAAAAATTAGGTTTTATTTAAATATTTATCTATATAGATACGTGCATGTGTATTTATACATGTATTTATAGACACACACCTTTGGTTTGTAATCCTGAGAAAGCAAAACCCCTGAAATTTTCAAGGGCGATCATGGTGTTTAGGTGTTTAAGGGATGGGAATTACATTTTGCAAAGTTAAAAGTCCTTCGGTGGTGAAAAGAAGGAAACATAACCTTTGAACTATGAAAATATGTAGGAAAACATTTATATAACTGGAAGGAACATCTGCAGGGAAAGATTTTTGATTTGGACTGTGTGTGAGACAGTGACTTTTTCTTAAAAGCTGATTTTGAAGTGCAGGGTAGCTGTTGGAAGAAGTGGCCACTTTAAACCTTCCCGTTGTAATGCTATGATGAGTCACAGAGCAGACTGCTAGCAGTGGAGAAGATTTTCGTGCAGATTTCAGTAATTGTAATTCTGGGTCTTGTTTTCTTCTCTCTTGAATAGTAGATGTTGCTTTTGTGAGTTTAAATCTCTCTTTGTCTTTGAATATTCCATTCCCAAATGGGTAAAACTTTCATATTATGGCTGGTTTTCATGATACTTTTAAAATGCTAGAAGGAACTACTGGTAACACTAAAGCAGTATGAATATATTATTTTCTTTAGGATGGAGGTAACCTTTTGGTGGATAATGCCCTTTGGTGATGAGTTACTAGCTTCAGGTATTTGTGATCTCCTTGTTCTGTAACATGGTTTCTAGTGACAGATTTGTGAAAATTTTTTGCTATATTCAAAAAAGCATTTGTCTTCAACTTGTACAATAAATTAAGACGTCTGAGATCAACCAGAGACAGAAATCTTAATCACGTATTGTGTAATTTTATCCATTCTGTTGCTTCTGTATGCCAGCAGTGGTGGCCTGGAGTGCATGGTCCCACAAATGGCCTGTGGGATGCTCAGATTTGCCTAATCCTTTTATCTGGAGGAGCTGGGAGTAGTTGAGTTGCAGGTACACACTGACCAATCAGTGCTTTCTTCTGCCTGCAAGCCCATGAGACCTATGCTGTTCCTCAAAGGGAGGCAGGGAGCCAGCCTCTCTCAGCAGCACTTTTCTTCTACTGGCCACCTTGTGCTGGGTAACCTGCCCTAGTGGTCTTTGCCACTCCCCATACCCTTTGGTTTGTGTGCAGGCAATTTGAGAAAGACAGATGGTTCTGTTTGATGGCTGCTGTTGCTGGGGAGGATGCGAGAAGGGATGTGAAGAGGACATGTGGTGCTTTGTGGGGTTCAGAAGGGGGAAGGAGCCATGGTCACTCCTGTCAGTGGGTAGCTGCCTCTCCCATGTTGATTCAAATCTCTGCAGCTGCTGAGATTGGATTTTGCTGGCCTTCTTTCAGCTCCTGTCAGAAGACTGACAGCTTGTCCAAGAGACATCACTTTTTGGTAGTTCTTGTGTTTTTTTTTTCCAGAAAGACTTTAAGTCCTCTTTTGGTTTACTGCTTCTTCTTAATAGCCTTTTATAACACAGGAATCTTAAATAGTTGCAACTTGACTGCAAGATGTGGAAATTGGTTTTCTCTTCTTTTCAGCAGACTGTTAGCCTGTACCAGGTTGTTATTACTCCCTGAGCAGACAATTTTCTAGGCCTGAAGGAAAGGAATGATTCTCTGTTTTAGGGGTGGTGGTTTGTAAGTTGAGTTCAGTTTCATGTTGCTGGTCCTGTTTTGATGACTGAATTTGCATTGCTGTACTTCAAAAGATTAGTAGAAAAAACAGCTGTAGTGGTTTAGAAAAGAAAAAAAAAAGGCATTTTTTGTTTATGGTAATTTATTGTCCTGTTTGATAAAAGATAAAGAGGATGATAAAAGACAATGTATTTTGCCATTTAAAAGTGCTGATTACTCTTTACTTAATGAATTGCAGCTTGAATTCAGCCTAATGGAAAAATTATCTTGAAATAGAAGATGATGTTTACCAGCACTATCCATCTCAAGGGATGATTTATTTTTTTTTTTTTTCTTCTCCATAACTGAGTAAGATGCAGAAAGTAACAGGAAAACATTCTTTTTTATTCACAGTGCTTTCAAGTCAGAACTCCTAGTAGTAAAATGACATTCCTAGAATCTTCTCCAAACTTGGCTGCAAACTGTGGTTTCTGGGAGGATCAAAATGACTTTTCCTTGAAATTCCTGGATTTCTTTTCCTTTGTGGCTTTAATAAGAGTAATAATAAGCTCCCTTTCCAACTGGGAAACTGCTCTTCTGTGTTTCTGGGTTGTTCTTTGTAAGAAAGATCTTGTTTATTCTGGAAATTACATCCAGGTAGTAGCAGCATGTCAGGCTTCTCATCTCACGGGCTGCAGAATGCAGGCAGATGAAAAAGAAACCAAGAGAGCATAAAAGGTGAAAAATACAAATAGAAAGTGTGTTTGTGGAGAGGTATTTTATCAGGAGAAAACAGCAGGAAAATGGAAGACCTCATAAATCAGTAAATAAAAGGGAAAAGGAGAAGAGAGTATGGTGATGGATGGTGAAGGAACAGGGAAAGCTGTAGATAGAACAACTTGACCCCTGGGCAAAAAGACTTACTTTTGTTTTCATAAGACCTGAGGCTTAATTTACAATTTTGCAGAGCTTTTGTAGAGATATGAAAGGGGAGTGAGAGAAACCTAGAAAGCCTGGGATAATCACAGAAGATAAACATATTGGTGCTCATATGTAGTCTCACATAAATGCTTGCATCAAATGCAAGAGAATTTATATCTAGAGATCAAGAGAATGTAAGAGAACTAAGGTTGAGCTGGCCACACTGGGAGAGCAAGAAAATGCTAAAATGTTGTGCTGTTTTTAGTAAGTTTTGACAAATTGGTAGTGATATTGAATTTAGGAACAAGTATTTTCACCTCAATAGGGAAAATATTCGTAGAAGTTTATATAAAGTGTGATAGATTTGAATCTTTAACCTGGTAAATCTTTCTTAGAACTAGTTTGGTTTGTTGGTTTGGGGGTTTTTTTGAAGTTGTCACAGCAAGGAATGTGTTCATCTGTGAACTATGAGGGAAGTTCCACATTTTTATAATCTTGACCATTTAAAACACTCTGGCCTAGGCTTTTTTTTTTACATTCAGCTGCAATAATTACTTATTTTAATCATATTTAATCTTAGAAACCTGTATATCTACAGTGGGTTACATATTTGTTTTGTCATACTTAATTCTTATATAATTACTTATAACAAGCTGTGTTCCTGTCCTTAGCAATGGCTTTGGGGCATGGTGGGAAGAAACTGACAGTAAATGTATAATTCCTGACTTCTTGTGTACAAACTTCTCAGGCTGCTTTATCTGTTTTAATCCAAAAGCAGCTCTTAGAACTGAAGTCTAATCCCAAAGCTGTGTTGATGCAAATGATTTGCATGCCAAAAAGAACCACTTGTGTGACGAAGGATAAAAAAGTGGGCCTCAAGATGGATTTTGTTTTATAACAGCTGCCTAAGTATGTAAACTTGGTCTTATTAAAAAGAATGAGAAAATGTATGTATGCCATTGGAAATCATAAATGTTTTTGTGTTTTTCTTTCTTTTTTTTTCTTTCCAGATTTAAACATGGAATTCAATCCATCAGATCATCCACGAGCCAGTACGATATTTCTCAGTAAATCACAAACAGATGGTAGGTTACTGAATTTATTACAATATTTGCTATTGCAGTTATATCTAACCCCTTTGTTAGAATGCATGTGATTGTCTTTTAATATATAATTCCCCTCCCCAAAAATGAGGCTTTTAGAGGCATCATGTTAAGAGTGTAAAGAAGTCACGCCTTCAGTTGCTTATTTTGTCAGACCAGTAGTAGAAGGTGCAGGTTTGAGTCCTGTCATTTGCTGAAATTGTAAGTTCCTAGTAGTTGTTGTGTCAGAACTACAAATATGGATAAAGCTTAATATAACTATGTTTTTAAAATGTTTTCCCTGAATCCAAAATTTTCTGTGTAACTGTTGTGTTTTTAAAACTGAACATTAGGACAAGCTTCTGGGAAACATGTGGAAAGTATTTTCTGGAGAAAATGCCAGTTTACATTAACTAAGAACACAGTCCAGAGTTTCCTCTGATATAGCTGATACTGTAAATGAGCTTAGTACTAGATTTTTATACCAGAACAGCTCCTATTCCAGCTAAACTTTCTCTCTTCTTCTTTCATTATGGATTTGATACAATCATATATTTCCCTGGAGATTTTTTTTTTTACTTTTAGACAAAATGATCTCTCTGGAGTTCTATCTGCTGAGCAAACCTCTTGATAGAGTTAGTAGAATAGAAGCCATTTATTCTGTTTTTTTCATTCCCCATTGGACATATATGACATGTTGTTTTAGAAGTAGATGAATAGTCAATACAAAATGCATTATTTTCTACCAAGACTTTCAAAGCAGTTCCTGCGTTGTAATTCTGATTATTCAGTATGAATTCTTTGTCCTTCTTTTGCTGCCTGTAAATGCCATTTTGATTTACATAGTAAATTGCAGTGTCAAACTTATGATTTATAAATAATGTAGTTTTCACTTACTGTGTATTGTTTGCTAATTTTTGCTCATGACTAGAACAAAGAGGATATACATTTAGGTCCTAATTGAAGAGTTGATTATGTGAGTACCTCAGTTGCCCTTCAGATTGTACTTCTGAATTCAGCTCTGGTTCTGTCAATGCCTTATTGTGTGGTTTTATATATTATTTACCATTCTAATATGGTTTGGTAGTCTGCAAATTAATGCTATTTTTCCCATAGTACACTGTATTATGAATATTGATGTCTCTATAGTGTTTTGAGACTGTATGGATGCTATCTGTTTCTTGTTACAGCTTGTTAAAAAGAAGGACAAAAAAATCCCAAGTCCAGTAATTAAAATTTTGACCAGACCTGATGATTATTCTCACTTGCAGTAATAATAATGGCTAATTTATTACAGTATGGAGTTAACCATAAGCATTTTCTAAAATGACTGTTTACAGCGGTGCAAGAGTTGGTCTGTGAAGCTTTGTTGTAGCTTAAGAACAAATTAAAACTTATTTTTGAGCAAGAACAGTGAATTTAGGGAAACAATATAGAAATGTTATCAACAGGAGTGATAAGATCTGTTCAGCTATCTTTGATCATAGTGGAAAAAAAATCCAAAGGCTGTTTTGCTTGTACGAAGGAAAAAAGATTCTGCTGACATTTGTCTACTGATGTTATTGCCCAAGAAACATCCCATTCTGCTGAGACAACTCACAATAGTAAGCATTTTGCTTGGCTGTTCTTTGGGCCCCTTGTGGAACCAAGTGAGCTGTAGGAGTTATCACATTATTCATGGAGGTTGCCTGACACCAAAATGTAATAACATGCTTATTAAGGGGAAAATATAGGGGTTGCTTAGGGTGTGTAGGGTTGTATTCTGACAGCCAGCTGGAGTCTAAGGCCCCCCCCCAGCGGGATTCTAACCCCCCCCCCCCCCCAACTTCTTAACACAATGTAGAAGGGTAGAGCTGAGCTGGCAATGGTAAGAACACCTCATGGGCATGTAACTACCACTCTCCATCTTGTATAGTGTTGGCTTGGCAAACCTTCCTGTTGACTGTGAATGAAAATATTTCTATAGATCAGACCAGCAGGCATTTGAAATACAGATAATGGATAGTTGAGGGGCATCAGAACTCAAGTTTTCATCCAGGATCTGGCTGTGACTCTTGAGTATATATCTCATGTTTTTACAGTGGGAAACAGCCAAGTCCATTGCTACATGCTAGAGGGACTTGGCAACATTACATTCAGGCAGTTCCATGTATGGCTTTCTAGTAGCCCTGTACTCTTGCAGCCTCACTGGTAATGTAGTGTCCTGGCATAGGAGCTGTGCTGGAGCTGCTTGTGATCAACATGCGAGTCAAGAGCAACAAGCGGACTACCCCAAATATAATGAGATGGGATGTGGCATCTCCGGATATGACATGATCTGAATTTCCCATTGTTCTGTGAAGCTCGGGTGCCATGCTAAGCATCTTAATCTGTCCCGTCTCTCTTAGTAGTCCGCATCCTTAATTACTTGAGAGTTGAATGAATCTGTAGAAAAGTTGAAGACATAATAAATACTAATTTTACTCCTAACTGAAGTAGTTTTTCTAAATGTTTCCAACTTTTTGTGGGAATTTTCTAGGTGCTGGATCTTCACGAGTAATTCTACAGGTTTAGAGAGCTAGTAAATACCACCTTTTATGTCTTTAACTTCTCTGAGTGCTTTATGCAAGTTTTCCCTTGTTTGCTGACTTTGGCCTGTAAATGGGATGGTCTAGGGTACTGAAAAGCTGTGCACTGTTTATATAGTGTGTGGTTGTGGTTAAGCCAGGGTTTCCAAACCTTAGCACTCCAATAATGTAACATCCTGTCCTTTTACTAGCAAAAAGGCAAGGTTGCTACTTCAGTGTGCTGGTAATGGTCTTTCCTGGAAGTGCATTACAGCCGTCCACCTCTCCTAACTTACGTTAGGCTTTACACATTCAATTTACTGGCTAATCTTTTCAGTATTGGTGCAACAATGGGCTTCAGGCAAGGAGAATTTTGAAACTGCATGTATATAGTGGGTAGAGGTGAATTAAGGTGCACTTACTCTTTCATGTTGACTAGGACCAGTCTGCGGTCTTGGATAAAATAAGAAGAAGTGTTTTAAAACTCCCGAAATGCAAGACATTTGATTGATGTAATCCTCAAGGATTTTGTCTTTGATCCTGATAGGGGTAGCATTAAGATGGTGTATAGAAATTGCACAGTTTCTATTACAGCTCAGTGAAAAACACATACATACATAAATACACACACACACGTACATATATGTGTATATGTGTGTGTATTTTCTCACTCCCTTTTATTTCAGGATAATACATTTCCTACTACTGCAAAAGTTCACCAGTAACAGTTGAAAGTGCCTGCAGAATAGGAACAGGTCACTGACCTTAAAATGGGGAAAACTAAGACAATTTGGCAGCATCTCTGTCTCCACTTGAAGCATTCCAAAACTTTCAAGTTTTAAAATGTTAGCAAGAAAGTAGAAGTTTGATTGTTTAAACTGACTCTAAATCTGTTCAGCTTCATTTTTTCTAAACCCTGTGCTTGAAAGCCAAAAGCTTGGAGTTGCAGTTAGGAGTTTATATTACAAAATAATGGTTAGTTGTAACACTGTGGTCCTGTCTGCTGAAGATCACACTGCACTGTGTGAGCTGTGCAGAGCATTTTTAAACTGACTGAAGCCAAGTGATGGAATTACCCCTTTACAGTCATTTTAGCTTGGCAAAAGTGCGCTTTACCTTGTGCAATAATTGTTTTTCCCTTGTTTAAAGACAGTTATTTCCCTTGTTTAAAGGGAGGGTTGGGGTCACAAAAGAGAGTGGTTGTGACATAAGGGGTTTCTGCTATGCCCAGATCCCCATCGGCATATGTTCTGGAAAGAGTTGAGCCTTACACTATGGCAGATTGTGCCAGAAGTGCAAAACAACAGCTGCCACCTTTTAGTGCCTTACCTGAGAATGCAGGCTAACTGAATTTCTGGTATATGGGGAAAATAAGGGAAAGGAAGTCAATCTGTTGCTTGGAATAATGTGCAGCACAAGCAATGCTTGAGTGGGGAGAAGCAAGGGATGTGTATAAATACATTACTATAGGCATCTGGAGATTGGAAATAGCAAATGGGTATGAGCTATGAGTGATGTTCTTGCTTTTGTAAATACATGATTCTACTTTCATGGGGAATTGAATAATGTATACAAGGGAAAATACGGAAAAGAAAAACTAAGGGGAAAAGGTGCTTAAAATGGAATTTGGAATGTATGTGTAGCCTGTCTTTATATGATTTTGTCCATAAGAACTTTATATGCAGTGTGATTGTGATTAAAACTGTGAAATACTTAACTGTGTTCAAAATTTCACAGTTAATAGGTGTTACTTTTCAGTTATGTACTCTTATTAGGTTTACACACAGCTTACCGGAATTGTTTACTGCCTGTATATTGCAACATGCAATGCTAGACAAATACTTTGGCTGTTCTTAGAAATGAGTATCTACCATCATTTTGGTGTATCCCTTTCAATTACTTCTGACCCCTTCTGGTGATAAATGCAACGAGGGGAACTAAAGTGTAGTGCAGTGTTTTAGCAGGACTTAAAATAGTTTAACTATTTACTCGACAATCAGATTTTTCCTGCTGTTCCTGTTTAATTCTGTTTCTTATATAATGTCCGTAATTGTGGATCTGAGCATGTACTAAGTGACATGGCTAACATCTGTCATGTGTGATTCTCCTTTCTGCTCCCTGGGAGGAAAATTATGTAAGGATTTTTAAAAGTTTTCTCATATTTTCTTTTCATTTTATGTCTGCATTAAACAATTATTTCACAGTATTCACACATACAGCCTTGTTTATGTGAGATTGCTTGCTTATAGTAAATCACAAATAATGGCTTCTCATCCAACAGGGAATGGACAGGCTATCCCACCATTATGAATACTCTTATTTTGCAAAGTGCATTGGGTTGCATAGCTTTCAAATCATGGTGCACCAAAGTGCATTTAGTCACCTACAGCATGAAACCATTTTAATCCTGCAGTTTGATTTGTGTTAGTTGCCTCCAGACTTGCATCTTAAATGCTGTGGTATTTTCACTGGAACAGAGCTCCACAGGCTCTCTATGGGGTGAGTTAATGGGAAAATGCTTAAAAAAATTTAATAGTATATTTAATCAGCTGTAATAAGCATTTGCTTGACAAATAAGACTTTATACATCTATCTCCCTTTTGTTGCTGTTTGCTTTCTGAATATTTTGGCTAATTGTGGCTTTGACTTGCAACCCTTGCTTGTGGTGACTGGTTCATACTCACCAAAGTAATATATTTTCATGGTTATATCTGACATCAGTAATAGTTTCAGGCTTGCACCTGATCATTATAGAAGGCAGTGGTGTAATGCATATGGTTTCAAGGCTCGTCTATGGGAGTTAGTGCACAGTAAGCTACGATAAGAACTTGCTAACTCCATTCTAACTAGCTGTTTAGGTGCTTTCATGCCTGCAAGGTAGTGTAGGCCACTTTGCAGCAAGGTACCTTGCACGAAGGCACTGGTGTCTCAGGAGTACATACACAGAGAACTGGTGAAGGATGCCTAATCCATTGCTAACTTGGGACTGTAGCTTACTGCATATTAACTTTCCCATGCGGACCAATGCCTGGTGAAGTACCCAAATGGATGAGAATTTTAATCCATCACCACACTAGTGAGCGCAAATGCCTTTATGCGTACACATACATGTTCCTTCTGTGTTTGATATATAAATATACTTGGTTAGTGCAAAAGCAGTTATAATGTTGCACATAGAGAGCCTCCTGTTCTTTTTATTATAAATGGTATATAAGAAACTTAATCGGGAAAAATAGTCATGTAATATTTCTATCATATTTTGTGTTTTTGCAGTGAGAGAAAAACGCAAGAGTCTCTATATAAACCACGTAAGTGAAAATGCCTCGCTATGCAGCTTTCTCCTTGTTGTCTATATTATACAGTAAATAAGAGTTGTCACACATGATTTCCATATTGGTGAGAGGGTGCTGATGCTTCAAATGTCTGTTCTGCATCAGGATACAGAGGTGTAGGTCTTGGCTATTGCGTTAGTGGAATGGATGTCTTGGTTTGAAGATAGTATCATGCTTACAACCAGTGTACATAGGTAACTGGTCCCTGGGATAAAGAGCTGCACACATTAGTGTGTTTTTTAAAATATTTTTTATTACAAAAACTCTCAAAACTTTAAATTACATTTGTGTGCAAGTTTGGTTTGGCAGAGAGCTGCAGTATTTTATTTCTACACAGAAGTTCTGAAGTGCCTGACCAGTGTTGATGCAATGTAAATGTGGATTGACATGTGGTACATGCTGAGTATGAAGATGGGGTTTGTTATGCTTGTGTACCCCAGGCATTTTTCAATTCAGTTCTCTTCTGTTTGAATTAAATTTGTGGTGAAGCTGAGAGCAAATCGCCTGTAGCCTGCTTTGGACCAAGCTCTTTGCCCCAGTTAATATTGTTTGTACTACTGAAACACCTGGAACCAGTGCAGTTCCCAGTACGTTAAACCTTGTGCTGAAATATCTGGAGTTACGCCTCAGTAAAACTGAGGAGGGAAAGAACTAATTGTCTCCCAGTGGTATTTGCCTTTAGGGTGAAATGGGGAGTTCTCAAACTCTTCTTTATCTGTAAATACAAGCCATCACTTCATGAATCATTTTTAAGCCACTATAACTGCTGAAAGAAACAGATGTGGTTTATAGGCTCTGCATCCCTTTGTACAGGGCAAATATTTGTGCACCTCCAGGTAAACTGGATTGGGGCACCAATGCAGGTAGAATTAGCATGGCTGAAAGCTAAAATGGATCTGCTCCTCAATGTGATTCCACCCTCAGAAAGGAAGGGAGGGTGAGAAGGCAGGTCTGCTTCATTTGTTGGCAGAACTAGTTTGTGCTGAGTGTTTCTGAAATTACTGCCTGGCTTCAAAAGCAAGCTGAGATTTTCAGTTTCCCAAGAGTTAAGATTTTGAGAAGTCATGAGATACTGTGAGGCTCATAAAAGCCTTAAAGTTTGCCCCACAAGTTTAGCAGATATTCTCAGTGCTTCTCACCTCCTGTTCCCCTGTAAAACACTTCCATTGTTTACAGTGCCTGTGAGGGTGGCTTGCAGTGCAGTTGTATTGCTATAAAGTTACTTGTAAAGCTATTGCACTGGGTTGCTGTAAGTTTAATAATGTGTGCTCAGGAACTTCCAGCATGCTTTGTAGCCTCAGACTTGAAGGATTCCAGGCAAAAAAATAAATATTTAGACACTGCAAAACAAGGTAATAACTGAGTTTCTGTCACAGTCTGCCTTGTGTCACAGATGGAATTCTCATAGGTCCTGAATCGTTTCATGTCATATGAAAGATGCGTTCTGCATTAGGCAGACTGTGAGTGGATTCCTCTGGTGGATTGAACAAAGATGACTGTTACAAATGCTGCTGGAAGCACACTATTGCAGTCCTTGGTATAAAGTATTTTTAGGAATGCTGAGCTTGTGCAGAAAAGGAAAGGGTGATCACATCACTGAAATGTTGTGGTGTTGGGAGCTCAATGTAGCAGCTTACCCAGTTGATACCCTAAGCACTAAAGCTCTTCCTAATTTCCTTTCTTTTTTTCCCCCCCAGGTATCATTCAGAGCATTGGCTAAGGTTCCACCAATGTAAACTTCCCTCATTAGTCTGGTTTACTGCTATCGTAGTGTGACTTCTTTCTCCTTACAGAGCACTTCTTAATAACAAAGCTAAAAATAGCGTTTGTGAAGCTGAAGTCCTTGCCATGGCTTTCTCTGTGTGTGTCCTTACAAGTCAGTTTAAGGTTTTTTTTTAGCCAATACTTTTACATAAGGTATATTTTCAAATGTGGTCTGTGATATTTAAGTTGTTACTTCAGCACACCTGTGAGTATTCATTCAGCATCTCCGAAATATTCAGAATGCTAAAGCTCACGCACAGACTGGTGGTCATTTTTGAAGTGGTTGCTGTGGCCATTAGCTGGCAACTGTGTTTAGGTTTATAGACCTAAATTGCCATTGTAATTTTCCTAGACAGCCTCATTTGAGGAAATTTGAGGAAATATGTTTAAAAATTGTGTGTGGCAAACGATGGGGAGAATTTACATGATAAGTGAATTCATTAGTTTTACCCTATTAGTTGAACAGTTCTTTTCCACCATTTTCCAGCATGTGCCAAGTGCATTTCTAACTTAAGCTATTGCTACTCATCCCTTTCCCTGTTGACGTGAAATGCTTGGTCTCCATATCTGCTCTAGAGAAAACAAGCCAGAGGACGTAAATTTTGGAGCATTGTTTTGTCTTCTTTTTACAAGAACTCCTCACCATAATGCAGTGCTCTTCTCTTTTTATGTTCTTTCCGTAACATCATCTCTTTTTCTAAATTTTATAAGTCCTATATACTTATTCTCCTTTTGAGATAAATAACCGTGATAAGCAACAAAACATTTTTATCCTTTTGTGCAGTATCTTATTGGTTGTTTTGCAGGCAGAGTTAACATTTCCCAGGTGATCAGGGAGGCTGACTAGCAAGAGAAGTATCAAGAAAAGTTGTGTTTTTTCTGCCTATTTCTTTTGTAGCAACAGATGAGAGTAGTAATTTATACAAGTACTTTGAAATGTTACCTGTGAAAATGATTAATATCGACTCTTCCTCATTTACAAGTCCAGTTTCTCAATATGATCACGCCATCGTTCTTTTCCTTTCTTGCTTGCTCTTGTTTGTAGAATATTTCAATTGGATGACTACTTTCCTTTGATCCCCAAATACAACTCAGGGCTTCCTGCTTTGATTTATTGTGTGTTGTCAGGGGCTGGCAGTTGCCCTGTTTCAGATTCACCTTGTCAGTAGGTGTGATGGAAGAAGCCAGCAGCTGTTCTTTTTTGGGTGTGGGGAAGGCAAGGAGAAAGGAAAGTGGAGGGTGACAGGGTGCAGTAGAGAAGACATCATCTCTCAGTCTTCCCACATTGTCCAGGGGGACAGACGTCAAGTTGGGGATGGTACTGGATCCTTTGCATCCTTGTAGGTGCTGGCAGTTACCTACTTACCGTGTACTCGGTGTGTTTGCTTTCTTTCAGCCTATTTTAATTTCTAAACAGTTGCAGCAGACTCTACTTCCCCTTCCCATTGAACTGGCAGTTGCTGGTTTTTTGTTACGGTTTTAGTGCTGCTTCAGTGTGCACTTGTCTCTTCTTTTAATCTGCTTAGTCAAGCTGCTCATGGGGATAAAGATGCAGACTGAGATAGAGGCGTTTCCTTCTTCAGAGAGGAGAGATTGCATCAGTATCTCTGCCTGTGTAAGGAAAGCAAACAGGAAGACATGTTTTATGTTTTTTTGAGGGGTGGGTGGAGAAAGAGTGAATGTTTTATTATTGTTTGAAGTAGCTGCTTCTTTGTACTGGGTGATTTATTTTTTTACAGGGGAAAGGAGCAGAGTGGGAGTGGAAAAGGTGTTTTCTCCGTCAAGTTTTTGTAGAAATTTTCCCTTTCAGAAAGTACTTTCCTGCCTTCTTGACAAGATGTACTCTTGAAGTTGAATCTCCATTAAAGAGCAGTAATATATTGTAAAAATAAGGGATAATTTTTGCACATTGGAATATTTCTGAGGGAAGATAGAGTGGGAAGTATAAAAGGGAAGAAAGACAAAAGGAAGTAATATCTGTCTTCAGCATATTTTTATCTTTTTTTGATTCTGGAGACACTTCATCAGCCTTGTAGCAACAAGGCTTGCTTCCTTTCAGCACCATCTTTAGGGATCTGGACATGACTTCCACTGTCCGCTACCCAGCAACTGGATGTTCGGATCCCAGCAGACTGATACTGTTTTTATAATTCTAAGTACAAAATCTAACGTATGTGTAAAGACCAATATTTTTTTAGACATCCTGGGGAAAAAATTCCTGGGCATCACTGATGTCTGAACCCCAGTCCCCATAAGTGACACTGTAGTGATTCACATCAGGGGAACCTTCTTCCCAGCAGCAGTCCAACTGCTGGTGACTAGTCGAGAAGAGAGGGGTACTTTGCTGTACATGGTGTGGCAGAAGCAATTTCTGTGAGTCTTTTTGCATGCTTGATGTATGGTATTTGCTTCTGTGTAGCCCCCAAATTTTCTTGTCAGATTGCATAAAGAGGCTGTCCTGCTTCCCTATTGTAAAACTACTAGACATGTGACTGGTAACCAAACACTTTCAGCTAGTGGTTATAAGAGTAAATAAGATACATGCTGAAATGGGGAGATAGTCTGAAAATCAGTTTAATCTGTGAAAAACGCAAAGCATAACATAAAACGTGAGATGTTTTTAAGTGGACTGCCTGAGGCTGGCTGTTGTAAAGGCTTATAATTGCTGTCCAAATTCCTTAAGATATTTTAATTAACATTCCTTCCTCAAAGAGAAGAACAAGACAAACTGGAAGATAGATTAGAGGCTTCTCAGATGCTCTTGAAGTGCTCCTAGAGATTGCTTAATGTGGTCTTTGCTCCCCTCCATAGCAAGATCACAAAAAAGCAGGTCTAGAGGGGGTCTGTGTAGGCCATCTGGCCCTGTACTGATACCATTCCTAACAGATGCTGTTGAGGATGCTTTTTCAGGCTTCCAGTAAGTTAGAATGAGCAGGTTTTCTTTAATGGCTTACCTAAACTTACGGTTTGAAGGGTTTTTTATTCCTAATATCTTTCAGCCCCTTGCTGCTTTTCCTGGCCTCTAGGGTGATGAATTGTACCTCTTTTATCATCATCAAGGCAATAAGTTGTATGAAGTGACAAACTTTTGTAGGGGGAGGGACAAAAGTTAACTTTTGGGGTAGAATGAGAGCACACAGGAGAGTTCTTTTACAAGGCTGCTGTACAACACTTGCCCTGCTGGGAGCCTAGTTAGGTCCCTCTGGTCAAATTGCACAACAGTAGCAATTATGTGCTATGTAAATGAAAGCCTTTGAGCTGCTTTTAGTGTTCAAAGAACTATTTAATCTTTCAGATTTGTAAAGCAGGGTGCTTTATCAGTGGCTAAGTAGGGCCTGTGTGTGCTGCGGAAGAGTTTACCAGTGGTTGCCTGAGACCCCAATAACTTGGTGGTATGCTGACATAGTTGTCTAGAGTTGATGTCAGTAGCGACAAGTTTCGAGAGCAGAAAACTTGCAAGTACAGATCTAGTTTAAGGCATCAGTTTTGGGCAATATCAAACATTGGTGAAACTAATCAACTGGTTGAATCAGCTAATCAAGGTTGAATCATGTTGTAGACTAATGAGGTACAGTTGATATTATTTAAGAGTGGTTAGACTGGATCTTTTTTTACTATTGTTAGTGTTGGCAGAGAAAGGTAAGCAGTTTCCAGTAGCTTTGGTTCAGGTGAATGTGTCCATATCTAGCCACTAAATGTAGGCAATTATACTGTAGTATCAAATTATGCAAGAATGGAAATAAATGCAGATCTTTGCAGAGCCATGCAGAGAATTGTGTTGCATGGCTTGCTTGCTTTTGGAAACACTTTGGTGACGTGTAAAGTCATGTTTCTTCTGTGAAAAACATTGTCAGAATTATATCATGTGCTGAAACAATAGAAGATCCATCCCCAAGATAGGAACCTCCCTTTTCCAAGTCAGAAGCAGTCCTGGTATTTTCTACTTGTGGAAATTTGGCTTTATGTGTACTTTTACATGCCAGGTTTGCCTATTAGGGTTTTGGCCAGCCTCTAACTGCTGGAAGCTAATGGACACGTCCCCACAGATGGGTGCAAGCAGGCCTCAATTTTTCCATGGGGCGAAATACTATTTAATAGTACCTCTTAAAATAATGCAATAACTTATACCTGGTTTGATGGAAAAAGAGACAGTACTGTCATTATTTAGGACCGAAGCTGCAAAGTATCTTTTGATGGACAAGTGCAAAAGAACACTGAAAAAGGCTGAAGCTCCTCTGCCAAACTGGAAGCTAACTGGCTGAAGGCCAGCTCTGGTACAAAAGCTGTATAGCTTCATTAGGAAAGTGTTGTGCCCAATGAACGCATCCCGCTGAGCCTCAGGGCACAGTGCCATACTAGTGTTGCTAAGGAGCTTCCAGGGCAGAGCTTGCTGGTCCCCTTCTGGTCAGTTCTGAGTATGTTTTTTGGTCAGTATGCACTCACTCAACTGTTAGATGTTTCTACCCTAAACCACCCTGGAATGACTATTTTAAAAGAAACAGTATCGCTTCCCCTTTCCCCACAAATTTAGTTTTCATTTCTGAGTGATGCTAAAATGAAGGCTGAGATAAACTCATCCTTTTGTGCATTCTCATTGCCAGTTAGTTAGAAATTTGTTGTGATTCCTTTCATATCATAGCAGGTACACAGAAGCAGTTCTGTAGAGCTTGCATGATTTTGATGGCAAACTAAGCCATTCTACTTCTGAAAAGGTTGTATTTTATGCAAACTTCAAGTAAAGCCTAATGTTCAAGCATCTTAAAAACAACCTATTCAAGCATCTTAAATAAAAACATGATTTGGAAAGTTGGAAAATTTTGGAATGAAGCTGGGAGAAAAATAAAGCAGTGATGTTTCCTTAGCACTCATTGTGCAAGAGGGGAAAACTGCTGGTTTTAAGAGCTAGAAACACCTGGCATTAACACAAGTACACTGAATCTTGATCTCTTAGAGTTTGTTCTCTAACACATGTAAAAGCTTAGCAAGTTATTAAGCAATTTTTTCCATTATACATCTTTTCCTGTAAAGGAAGAAATTTCACAAAACAGCTATTATGTATTCATTATAACCTATAATGTCATTTTTTAATGTATGTCTTTGGTTGAAATGAGAAAAATAACTGCTTCTGGAATAAAGAGCTACAAATCCTCCCTCCAAAAGAAATCACAGAATGATAGAAAATTGGTCCAGAATTCATCTCAAGAGGCAGTCAGTCTGGTTTCTTGCCTAAGAGCAGAATCCTGCATCTAAGCAATTCCTACCACATGTTTGTTTTAACTTTTCTTTACAACTTTCTGAGATGGAGATTCTATCACTGCCCAAGTCACTCAAGCTATCCATGCTGTTAGAAAAAGGTGATGGCTGGGTTGGTTTGGTTTTTTATTTTTGCCATCAACTCCTCTCTCACCTTCATGTCCAGTCTTAATTTTCCCTAGTTCACTGTAAGCCTGCTCTTTCTTATCCCATCCACATTGGTCATGGAGAGCAATATTCTCTTCTATGCAACTCCCTTTAACTTGACTTAAGGTCATTGCTGTTACTTTGTTCCTAGAGAAGACCACTCCAGTCTTCCAGTTTTTTCTTCTAAATCAGGTTTTTCAAACCTCTGATGAATCTTGCTGCTCTGTCCTTCTGATTCTCTGAAATTAATTCATCTTTCTTGAAATACGGTGGTCAAAACTGGGTGTAAAATTTCAGCTGAGCAGAGTGGAAGGGTGCTCTACCCTGTTGTATACATGATAACTCTAAATGCTGTATGATGTGTTCCTTTCCTTCCCCACCCACGCCCCGAAAGAATCCTCAGCAAATTAATGTCAACTGCAAATTAAGTAAAAAATACTTCGATTCTGTTCTCAAAGTTATTGCTCAATGTTTTACACTGAGTGTACCAGACCTCTTGTGGGATGTCTCTTCAGCCTTCTAATTTGAAAGTAATCCCTGGGTATTCAGAGTACAGTTTTCCAAGTAGTTTTTACCTGTCACATTTTCCTTTTGCCCTTTGGGAATTTTATGCCAGATGAAGTCAGAAGTCTTGATGAAATTGAGAAGTGTGACATCTACTGAATCTCAGCTTGGGTGCAAACATACTACTACCACAAGTTAAAGTACGCACATAAAGTGAATCCCACTTCGTATCAATAAGGTGCTTTTAATTTGTAAGTATTTATTAGTAGCAGAGATTGAGAAACTGTCAAGGCTTCACACATGTGCTATCCTCAGTCATGTTTGCATATGAAGATTTACAAAATGAGCTATACCAGTCCTTTCTTCCCCCATGTCAGCCTTAATGGTGGGACAGAACCTGAGGAGGATCCCATTAATGTTAGAAGGTTTGGCTAATTTCTTCAAAGGCTCTATATTCTTTCTCAGCTTTTCTGACTTTTCTCTTAGACCCTTTCTGACTTGTCTAAATGGGAGTTTTTTGTGGTCAGCCTTCATGAATTTGAAGTATGAAGGCATTAGGCTCCTGTACAATTTTAGGTGTGGACTTACCCATTGAAATGGACACAGAAGGGGGTTTCTCTGTAGGACAGTGCTAAATATTGAGATGATGCTCAGAAACCAATTTGGTCTTTTGCAAGGATGTAGAAGGTTCCTGTGCAGCATTTTGTGAAGGTTCAGAAAGGCCTATTTGGCTGAACTGTGGGACTTACATTTCTTCCAGCTCAGTCAAGCTAGGCTATGAAGCTGAGGGTGTTTTCCAGTAATTTGGAAGAGGCAGAAAATCTGTTACCTGGCATACCATATGGCTGCACTTGGACGTTAGAGTAGATGCTAGCAATGTTGATCTACCGATAGGTTAGTTATTCACATGGCAGAAATGTGTATATATATCCAAGATAGTAGGTTTACACTTGGCACCGTTCTTCAGACTGGGAAAGGTACCCCTTCCTGCCAAGTCGTTATGAACAGAAAGTGAGGCATGAGACACCACGTATTTTTCTGAAGTGTGAAAAGTTCTCAGCCTAACAAAGTGTGATGTGGGCTGAAAACCGTGGAGAGTTCTGTGATATGGCAGTTTCAGAAATAAGGTGTGTGGCTCCAATTATTGACATGTATCAAATGTTAGAGTGATGTTTACCTAAGAAGATTTACATCTGACAGTGGTGTTGCTACAGAGTTGTTTTCTTCTTTTTACTCATGTTTGCCTTGAACAAATCCAGTCCATTTATCTTATATTTTATCTAAACCTTCAAACTATGTTTATACTTAAAATGTAGAACTAAAACTTTCCATATGCCTTTTTTTAATGATTTTTTTTTTTTTAATGTCTGTACATCTCCCTTTTTTCCAACCTCTTAACAGTCTCACTTTCAGCTGGTTTTAAGTTGCTTTGCTTTTATCATGCTTGCGGAAGGTACTTAACAGACTAATCCAGAAATTCAAACTCAACTGTGGTAGAATAAAAGCTATAAATCACCAGTCCCCTAGTACTTTTCTCTGTATACATCAATCCTAGATAGTACGTTTTATGGCATTAATGCTTCCATTGCTTCTAAATGTTCTGTCTGTTGCCTTGCTTAGCATACAATAGCTTGGTAGGTTGATGGATTGTAAGCTTCCAAAGTATTATGAAGTACCTTTCCAAAGTCCTTGAGAATTTTTGAGAGGGGATAATTTTAATTTTCTCACTAAACTTTTCACTTCCAAGAGAAGCAGTTCAGCCTATGATTCCATTGGTCAAGTGAGGGACCTTGGTAGAATCTGTTGGTGAGCTTTCACATAATTCGAACATGGTGTTTCTACAATTCTGATAGCTCCAGAAAATGATTTTTATTTTTATTTTTTTTCAATTGACAGAAGTCTTTGCATGCTCTTTCACTCATAGCTGGGAAAAATAGAAAGATGACTCAGATGCATGTAGGTTTTACCAGGAGTCTCTGTTCTCTGTCTAATGAATGCTGCTCAGGAGTCTGCTGCCTATGGAAAATGAAGCATTAGTGAGATATCGGAGTGCTGGCACTTTTAATAATGTCTGTGCTGCAAATTAGACAGGGGGAGATGTACTGAGGTAGGAGTCACAGGACTGTAGCCTAGAGACTCAGTTGCTCTGAGCTGGTAAATGCCTGTGGGTTCCACCGATGTTATTGACATTGGGCTCCACTGAAACGGAGGAAACAACATTCATTGTAAGGCACATAAAATTTCCATGTCAACTGAATTTTAAGCCTATTCTGTTGTAAGTTAAACATGTAATTCGATGTAATTTGACTGGTCTTCCCTTTTCTGACACAGGCCCTCGTTCAAGCTATTCACTAGCTTAGGTAAAATAAGCAAGGATAAAATCAAAGAGCATTAATGACTGTGACAGCTATTAGCTGATATGAAGAAACTGTTCTCTTTAGACTGGTGGATTGCTGGCTGCTCTAAACAGCTGAAGGAGAAGCCCTCTCAAAAAATCTTTAGAAATAAGTAGTGTTGTCAAATGTCATCTTTGCAGCGGAGCTTTTCAATGTTTTCCTGTGGTAGTGTAGAAATAGAGTTGAACTCTGTGGAAAATTTCTTTTATTAAGAGATGTTTCTTTTTAATTTGCATATCCACTTTCTCTTTCATACTTTGATGAATTTTCTTCCTGTCTAATAACATACTATTCTTGATGAATTATTTTTTCCTGAGTTTGCCCTTTTAAACTTTAGATGTTTTAGTAGTTTTCCCTTACTTCATTCTTCAGGGTTTATTTGGGTTTGGGTTTTTTTTAATTCTCTTTTCTCCAAGCATGGTTTTGTATCTATTTCTAAATCAGTCTTCATTGTTAACATGATTTCTTTTTCACTTTTCCACTTACTCTTTTTGTATGGGGACAGAAACACAGGTCTTGTTCATCTTTGCTTTCCAAATATACGTATGCATTTGAGTAATTCTGCACAAAAATTTTTGCATGGTTTTGGGGAAGAAGGGACTGAGGGGAAATTGGGACTGGAAAGCATTAGTCAAGGCTCAGACAGGGATTGTTGTGACTTTTGCACTGGTAATTATTTCTGAACTTTGTGAACTGCTTCAAAACATGATCACATTACTGTGTGCGTCATTGTGAGAGACAGAGGAGTCTGTTTTTTCTGAGTTCTTACATGTCCTCAGAAAAATGCTTTGGTATTACATAATTGCCATTGTTCTTTTGCATGTTTTTCATAGCATCCTCCTGGGCAGTTGAGAAGGAAGTACAGCTCCTGCTCCACTATTTTCCTGGATGACAGCACAGTCAGTCAACCAAACCTCAAGTATACCATCAAATGGTGGGTTTTATAACTTTATTTTTTGTTTTGCTAGAGCCTGCATTATATATATGTATTTATGTATACATATTTCTGAACCATTACTAAGCAAGCTTCAGCGGTTTTGGTTTTTGAAGCAGTAAATTTATGTAATTTGATCATGCTCCAGAGGCAGTGAATAGGATGAGCAAAGGGTATTCCATTTATTTTAGTGCTGTTCAGAGTCAAACTCCCAATACTGCATATCTCAACAGAAAGCAACATTTAAGATTCTCAGATTCCAGCAGCTGAAATCCTTGTGCTTCAACATTCAACTGGGTACTTGCTTTGGATGAGTCCTCAAAACTTACTTGGGTACTTGTTTATTTGGAATTTTGGAATTATGTGAATTTTAAGACTTATTTTTTGTTCATGAGAAGATCGTTATGAACATTTGCTAAGCTTTCCTTCCCATTTTCTATTGGAAATGGAAATTAATTGCCTCCAGATTAATTTCCTTATTTGAGTACAAGAACACTGGCAGTTTATTACACAGCAGTGGGGAGCTTTTTATGCAGTGCGCACATGGGCTTACCCTTGGGTGAAGTCTCAGATAATCATTTCAGGTTTCACTGGTGCCTTTCTACATTTGGAGAGAAATGAAATTGGTATTTATAGATTATTGTTCTTAACACTTTGTACAGTAAGGGGAAAAATGAAAGAACAAATGCTCCTCCAGCATTTTGTGCTGTTTGCTTATTATGATTGCTGATACACTCTCTTCAGCTGTTCATAGAATGATTACCTTGGTGTACTCAAATGCAAGAATTTATTAATATAAGATCTGTGCTACAGAGCTATTTACATGAGAGATAAATATATTCAGAATAACATGTCCAAAGGAGTTTATAGTGTTGGTGGTCACTAAAATATGTTCTTAATTTTTCTGTTTAAGGAAAAAAGAGGGGAATGGAGAAGGGATTTGCAGTCAGACTGACACCTCATTCCTCATCAGCTATTTCTGCCTGAATAATAGTCTTGCTTTTCCTCAAGTTTCTTTAATTAGTAACTTAATAATTCAGATGAACACTGAAAAAAGGATTTTCATTTTTTTCCTTTTTTTTTTTCTTCACTTTTGATATCTCATACTTTACTGCTCTAAAATACTTCACATGCAGCTTTTTTTTTTTAAGTGCAGCCTTTTGCGTTTCAGGCCCCTTTTTGCATCAAAACTGAAACTGCTTGTGGAAAGACGAGAGGGTTCAGTTGGCTGCAGCAGCCCAGAAGCATTTTCAGCAGGCCACAGTAGCCAGCAGCAGCCTTGTTGAAGAGGAGATAGATAAAAGCTGGGGATTGGGGAGCAAGGTGGTGATGTCTGGGGAGAGACTTGGGGTGTGTGGCAGGAGGGAGAGCCATAGGGAGGAGAAGGACCATGTCAGGCTGGAAGAGCCGTCACTGGGTCTAGGTGGGAGGAGTTGTGCCGGGCTGTGGGTTGGAAGCTGCAAGGAGTCAGAGGGTTTGAGAAGGGGCATGTGGGGTGAGAAACTGGACATTGACACATAAGGCCTCTGGGTGAGGAGTCTTTTCTCTCCTGTCTGGCTGCACATTTGACAGATTGAAGGGTAGAGAGACTGCAGGATTATTGCTTTTGTAAAACTTCATTTCTTGCCCTCACCCTGGCAGCCTCTGCTGATAAATGGCTATTGCGTGTAGGTAGATCTATGAGGGATGTATTTTGGCTGTCTTATTTATTTCTTCTGGGTCATGTTACTCACTGGTGTGTTTAAAATATTAGTGCATCTACTGGAGATCTGCAGCATCAGTACGGTGGCTGGGGTGTAGGGTGATGGAAAGTTCCCTAAGCGTCTTTCCTACACGCCAAGAGCTGGCTGAACCAGCATGTGAAGAGCAGAATGAAACTTGGATCTGAATTAATCTATTACAGCTCCAAAAGACTTTCAGGTTCTGATATGGACTTTTAAATAGTAAATATTTTCTAAACATAGTTTGACATCTTGTTACAAAAGCAATCATATGCGCACCAAGCAGAGAGCTCTGTACATAGATTCTTGCATCTGCTTTCATGAAGTGAATTGGAGCTGCAAGTGTGTTCCTTGGGGCATAATTTAAAATTAAATTTTAGGACTAATTCATTTTGTGAATAGCTTTCAGTCAAATTCATTCATAAATGTGGGGTTTGTGTTCAGTGAGGACTGTGCCCTTCAAATGTCTACAGTACACAGTATCTCTTAATTCCTTAAACATGTATCTATAGGAAAAAATCAAATTTTAAAAGCACTTACATACTGAGTTAGAAAAATGTTTTTACTTTCAACTAAGAAGAAATATTTTCCACTGCATAGCTGTTCAAATAAAGCAAAACCAAACAAACCTGAAATAAGTTAAAATTCTACTAATGGTGTAGCTCCAGCATATGATTTTCCTAATGTGCGGTATAGCAGTTTTCATGCAAAAATTCTGGAATAAAATTACAGAGCAATCAATTGACTCTTTCAAAAGGCCTTTTGTGGAAAAGGGATACATTTTGCGCCAGTATAAGTCATAAGCATCTTCAAGTTGTCAACAAATAGAGACTGCCTCCTTCATCCTCTTTAGCTTTGACTGGGTTTTATGCTGCTGGAACAAGTAGGGAAGGTGCTGGTTCTGATTTATCCTTCAGTAAAGCTCTGTCATGAGCTAACACTGAAGTTGAGTTGGAAACTGGAGAATAACCATGAGAATAACCGTGTCTTAGTTTTCTTCGGTCTCAAATGTGAATGAGATCAGTTAGTTGTATATGTAATTAAAATCTTAGCTTTCTGTGAATGTAAGGATACTTTTTATCTTTGCATAGAATATAAACAGAGGTACTTTGGTGAGTGGTTGAAAACATGGAAAATGCATAATGCAGTAAGTTATTCAGGGAGTCATCTCTTCCCTGAGTTAAGTAACTTAATGCCATAAAACTGTAGAAACCTGGTATTTCAGTCTGGTATGTGAGTAACTACATAGAAAGACAGCCAAAAGTTAATGGATTTAAACATAAAATCATAAGCCAAAGGTGATTAAAACATTTCATGTTAGCCTGGAAGCATTAGCAAACAATAACAGAGAATGTTCAGTGTCTGTGATGCTTTATCTTCAACCTTGGAAGTCAGTAGGAGTCTTATCATTGACTTTAGTAGAGTAGGGCATTGAATGGAAGCTATGTGCAACGTGGTATATGGAATATGAGTATTTTTGTAAGGTACTTGATTACTAGTGAAAAAGAGCTGCTTGGAGTGTGCTGAACAGATATTATGAAATTGTCTATTTACAGCAGTTTTCCTCGTATCTCACACTGAACTGAATAAAATAGGCTGTTCAGCATATTTTTGTCATGCATTGTGCTAGATTTTAAACTTACATGTTAATATGGCAAGTAATATAATTTGACAGTCCTGAGATACTAACTCTGTATTTTTCTTTACAGTGTAGCTCTTGCAATATATTACCACATCAAAAACAGGTATGTGAATAATGAAATCTTGTAATGAAGATATCTTTAATAAAAACATATTAACTGATCAAACCCTAAAAATCCATGCTGTGTTTCTTTCAAAATGTTTTTTAGTAGTTTCCTTATTTCCCATGCTAGAAATAAGAAACATATTCTTTTGTATTTTTAGTATATGTTATTTTGCTTAGAAAAAATAAAAATTAGAGGATAATGTACCATGAAATCTGGAAGTACAGTTCACCACTGAAAAACTTTGATCAGGGTTTGGTTTTGTATATACTGGGCACTTGCATGGGTGCGTATGTTGTGATTATATATACACAAATCTGAATAGTATCTTTCAGATTGATCTTTTTTTTTACTACACCTTTGTAAAGTTAACTGTGTAAATCATTGATCAGTTAATGGTTTTTGAAATGACAAATAGTAATTATACAGGAAGAGTGACATTGTGAATAAATGTAATTCAAGATGCCTCAGAAACAGAGCAGGTCCTGGTTTATCTCTTCTGGTGTAGTATGTTTTTAGATCTCTGCTCAGTCAAGTTGATTGAAATGGAATAGAAAATAGGTTCTCTAAAAAGTAACTTGGTACATAAATTAGCTTTCTTCATGTTGAATTGCGCTTTTGTATCTTAACTTCCCTGTCCTCGTGATATGTCACAGATATCATAAGATAATATTTCCTGGCATTTCTAAGGAGAGATTGTATAAGTACTTCAAGTGACTTTTGTGTCTATGGCTTTTCAATGTGTCTTTTCAGAGAACTTGGCTTAGATCTCAATCTAACAAGCCACTTCTTACATGTTTTTTCTTCTGGACTGTAGGAAGTCAGACTAGAACAAAAGAAATTACTCATAAGTTTAAAGTTAAGCTGGCACGTCGTTCGGGACCATGTTTCAGGTCACTGGCACCCATCACGCTTGAAACAAGGCTGACATCTGAAGAGAAACCTTTAGAAGTGCACAGGGGCAGAAAGGCTTAGGGCTTGATCTCTGCTAAAAGCACTTGGAAGACTTTCCAAGACGTCAGTGGGCCTTGGTCTGAAACATGGCAGTATGTAAAGCAGAAGTTGGAGTGAAAGCTTTATGCAACTTTTAATCTCATTTCGCAGGAAATGAAGCATCATGATCATGCTTGGATTACTTGTTTATCCATCTGTGGTTCCCTCTTTCCCCCTTCCTCCATCATCCCTTGGTTAGCATGGCTAACTAGTAAATTTTTACTATGCTTGACTAAATGAGAGATGTCAAAGATAATCAGACGCTAAAGTTATGTGGAAGTAAGTTATTCTTAAGTGCTCTATTAGGTTTCATGCCAACTGTGTAAAAGGCTTAAGAGAAAGGGGCACATTAGGGACTAAAAAGAGCGAGGAACTTCAGTAAAAGCACAGAGTTGAGCAGGAGGAATCCAGAGCCAAAGTACACCAAACTTGCTTTGTGCCTATTGCCAGGGAGCTGATTTCTGTCTGCAGTAAAATATGCTCACTCGTATTCTTATAGAACATGATGCAAATTTGACTTACAACTGGTAGACAGAGAGGCTAAGCTTTGTAAAACAGAATCCCAAGACAGTGTCTTGAAGACACGTACATTCTGAATGTTATCTTCTTGGGAAACTTGCTATCTGTCCTTCTGCTTTTACGATGGAAAGGTAATTTATTCAGGCAGGGCTGGTTGCTGCCCAGGGTAGGGGGAGGTGTGTTGTAAACGCTCCCTCTGCCGCAGTCGGGACAGGTGGTCTCGGCAGCAATGCTGAAGCAGCCTCGTGTACATCAATTAATGACTCTGGAATTAAAGATGGGAAATGACTATTCTGTCTTCAGTTGTCTCTAATTTAGGAATGTAGGGACAATGTGATAACAAGATTCAGTTGTACTTGCTGCTGAAACAGCCATAGCAATACATATGTTCTGTTTCCTGCCATTGTAGGCAAAAAGGAAGTTGTTGATGTATGTGGTAGATTTTGGTTTGTTATGGGGGATGGGGAGTAAGAAACCACTGTAACTCTTATGAAGACTCAAGTTTGATTTTGATAGAAAACAAGTCAAGCACTTGCTTTACCAAAGAATTGTTTTCAGACAGCATTTAGTTGTCCCTTTTCTCCTGCACAGTAGGTTTAAGGCTAAATTACTTCCTAATATTCCAAACTCTCACCAGTCCCATTGTTTTTGAGAAACTATACATGAAATAGAATATTTTCTTCATATGTTTCCCACTTTTCAATTAATTGTAACATTGTAGTTATTATTCCTTCTTTACCCAGTGTCTCCTATCATTGTTGTATTGATCGGCTTTCTGCAGCTTTTGTTGTGCTTAGCTGTTCAACATGTGGTAAAGGCTGCACTTACCTTGTTTTCTAAGGAATGCAAGTATTGGTGAATTTGCTAAATAAACAAACAAAAGAAACCCCAACAAACTAACCATGAAAAATGCTTAGAATCAATTAGTAGACGGTTCATTTTTTTGAAAGATAACAATGTAAACTTGTTCTAATGATTTTTTTTTTTTTGGTGTAATGTTTCTTAGAGGATGATCAAATGTGCCTTCATAGCATGTAGCAGCTATAGCATGAAGAAATAAAATAGGAAATTCTTTCTTTCTTTCTTTCTCTCGTCTTTGTCAAGAGCCACAGTTTATGTAGCACGCCAGTGAGACTACTTCTGTATTGAGATACTAGCCTTTTTATGTACGGGTAGAAAGTCTGCCTTAAATTCCTTGGTGATTGGGAGTTTTGTAGTAATTATTTCAATCTGTTTGTTTTAGTTTAAGTAATCCTTAAAAAAACCTCAAGTGCTTATTTCCTGAGTGAGGAGGCATTATAGCAGAATAAATGTCATCTTCAGATACTGAAGTTTAAACGTTAATTGCTAATAAGTATGTTCTGTAGACATGAATCCACTGTAAAACTCGTGTTTGCATGCTCTGAGACACATGTGCTATTGGGTAAAAACAGAAGACATATTCAGTGATTTCTGTCTTCAGAACTGTATTTTTTTAAGACCAGAGTACCAGGATGCTGTAAAGAAAGATGGGATTGTGTTAAGGAGGTCACACGGATGCATCTGTCCAGAGAGTGTTCAGTTCTAACTGGTACTGACTGTTATACCACTCACTTCTGTGATTGTTAGTGTTCCTGCCAAGATTACACACAGCAAGATCTTACACTGCATACTGGATGTTAGGCTTGTGAAGCTGCATTAACTTTCATGCTGATTTTGAGCAACAGGGATCTGAGAGAGAAATAGCAGCTAAAACCAGTGGATAGGAATACTACTTTGTCTGGGTTTCTTTTTCTTTTTTTTTTTTTTTTTTTTTTTTTTTGTATGTACTCCTTTTGGTTTTCAGAAATCATTAGTAGGATAGGGGGATAGGGTTTTCCAAGTAAATAAAAAGTGAAATATGTATATATTAACTAAAGAATAACTGTAAAAATAGTGTTACATATTTGTAAATGTTCTCAACATTGACAATAAAGGAGGAGAAGGAATCAAGAGATTGCAAGGTTAACATGAAGAAGTTAAGAAAAAGAGTAAGCTGGGCTGATTTTATGATAAGTTTGTAGTAGTACTTCGTAGTACTGTGAACAAGCCTCACAGTAGAGAGTATGTGTCTTGGGCATTGAAAATGGAAAATTTTAGCAACTTTATAATAGGGATTTCATGTTACATGTGAATTTTGTGGCAAAACAGGTCCAGCTTCTATTTGAAAATCGTATTTCTGCAGTGTTTCTAAGCACCTCGCAGCATTGGGAGTATTGGAGTTTTAACAGTATATTTGTGTCTATGAGAGCTGTGTGCTGTCGTGTTCAGATAATGACACTACTTTGGTTTTAATGCTTTTTAGGGATACAGATGGAAGAATGCTCTTAGATATTTTTGATGAAAACCTTCATCCCCTTTCGGTAAGTTCACTTGCCTCTTCTTCCCTTTCATGCGAACTGTCTTTCTGTCTGCTTCGTTTTGTTTCAGTCACCTATTTGGAAATATTTCTTCCTTAGAAATCCGAAGTGCCACCAGACTATGACAAACATGACCCGGAGCAGAAACAGATTTACCGCTTTGTTCGGACGTTGTTTAGTGCTGCTCAACTGACTGCTGAATGTGCCATTGTCACCCTGGTGAGTGTCTGAGAGATGACATCAGCCATCTGACAGACCCAGCTTTGTCCTCAGAGCTTGGGTTTGTATGATTTAATAAATCTAGGTGCTACCAGGGAATTTTTTCTCACCATGGAAACCAAGGAAATTTCTTGATGGGAAGAGATGCTACAGTTCATTTTCTTAAGGAGAGTAAGTGATGGAAAAAGAGGTTATGACATGCAACACAAAAGCTGGGGTTAAGTCTTGCCTTCACAGAGTGATAATGTTACAGGCCACCAAGGTGACTAATAGAAAATGCAGGTGGCTTAAGTGATTTGAACAGGAGGGAATGTTTAAAGCTGAAAGGCTTCCACTTTTGGGGGGTTTGCTGTGTAGCTCCCAGCAGAGACTTGGGAACAGCTGTAGGTGATTTGATAGCACTGATAAGACGTGACGGGTACATGAAGGATTCGGTGAGTGACTGGGACATGGTGGTGGTGGCTTTTTCACTTGCAGCGTAGATGTCTTTCAGGACCATGTCATACAATTGTACTCAAGGCTGGAGTTCAGCTACTTAAAAATAGCATGACACAAAAGAAGGTTCAGATTTTCAGCTGGTGTGGATCAGCATAGCTACATGGATTAAAGGAGCTAAAATGATCTCCACCAGCTGAGAATTACTTAATTTTCCTGAAATTTTTATCCTGCCAATTCCAACAAGCCTCTCAACTCTCAGGCACAATTTTGGCCATGTTCTTGACTCAAGGGTTTTAAAAGAATAAAATGTTTTTTTACCACCACAACATGTGGTTTCATAACAGCTTTGTTATGTACTTTAGATGGAAGAAGGGGAAATTGGAGAAGGTGGATTTTGAAGCCCAGACCTACTCATTTCCTGTTAATCTCTCTTCCTTGGCTTCTAAGATTAGCTGGCAGGCTTTTCGCCTTCAGACAGTCAAAATGAATTGTACTAGCCAGTACAGGACAGGAATATGAGAAAAATAGGGCAAGAAACACCCTGCAGTGCTCCACCCTTGCATTTTCAAGTGTTACTTTACCTAGCTGCTTGACCCAGCCATTACATGTTTTCCCAAATGACATTTTGTCTGTCTCTTTTACATAATTGCACTAAGTACTTGTACTTCTCCCTTTTTTCCTAAGTGTTTTCTGCTGGAGGCATGATATGCTGTGTGAGTCAGTATGTACTTCTGTAACTTAATTAATCCACTGTCAAATACAGTGGAACCTTGTTGTGGTTATCTCTTGTTTGATCTTTGGTTATTTGATCAATGAGGGCACTATTTAGTAGAAAGGAAGAAGGCTTTTTTAATAACAGTATCCTCCTGTTACTGCAGTGCACTGAATGTTTTTCCCCACAAATCTTGTTAACCTACTCATATACTTTAGTATCTTTCATTTGTAACAACTTCCTTGCCTCTTCTCGTTCTCATGTGGTTTTCCTGCAGGTAACTCTTTTGCTGTGATCTGCAATGAAGTATAAATGTTTTTAACTCATTTGTTATCCTACAGTGTCAGTTTCCATAGTTATTAATGCTTGAAAACTTAGGTGGCTCAGGTTTATTACCCAGCACGATGATAACAGATAAACTGTTTCATACCCTAGTTCTCAAAGCAGCCATACAGATATTTGTGGGTAGATTTTGTGCAGGTGATCGATGTTACTGTTCTGCTATTCTTGCTCATGTTTTCAGAATAATAGCACCTTCCTGACCCCTTTTTCCAGAAGCTTTCAGAGGTTTTGGATAGTTCTACAAGTATGAAGTTCTGCTGCTGCTATTCTTAGTTTCCTCTCTGCTTCTAAATCTGATTTCTTTATTTGTTTGTCTCATCAGGAGGGGCCCCAGAGACAGACTGTGTTGTTTCTGAAATGTTCAAAGGTGGAAATTAATCTGTTAAAAAGCAATCAACCCATGCTCCTCCCCACACTCTTGAAATCTTAATAGTGTTGATATCACTATTTATGAACCTTCCAAGTGCTTTCAATTTTGATACCCTGTCTGGAGAAGAAGAGAGCAGCATTCCCTGCTGGAGTTTATGTTTCGCCATAGTCTGGCTGTCCGTCAGAGAGCAATCTGATAGCCCTGTCTGCCACTTACTTCTCCAGGGAGGGTTGCCAGAAGGCAGGAGGGGTATCTGTGGAGATCACAGTACATTTTGAACAAGATGCTGCAGCTGTTATCTTTATTTCACTCACTCTAATAATTTTTAAACAGTCCTAACCACCCCTTTTACTGCCCAAGTTTTCAGTTGAATGCACTTGCTGTTTGTCTTCTTACATGCCATTAGGCAGGTCAAAGTAGTAGTTACAGTTGGTTCCATAGCAATCTGTATGTTCAGTGCAGGAGCTGGGTGTGAAACTCCACACTGTTAGATAAGCTAGTCTCCAGCAAAAAACCGGCATTGTGTTGCTTCAAGCACTTAATTAAAATATTTCAATTAAAGCCTCCACTATTACAGCAAAACCAATTTATAATTAAACAAAAAATTTAATTTTCATACAGCCTCCAGAGCTGCCAAGAGATTTCCCATACTGATAGGTGAAAAATTAAAATCTCGAGTTGAAACAATTAAATACTAATTATTTATTTATAAAATAATACCATAAGAATAAAATCAGTTTTAAGGATTGTGTTGCTGATTTAAAGTCTTGCAAATTATGTTTTCTGTCCCAGTGAACATCAGAACTATACTTTGTGACCTGACTTTGTGAGAAAAATAACACGTGTGTGCTTCTTCTGCAACCCAGAGTATTTCCCACCCTTACTAAAACTGAGAAAGCCTGTCTCATCTAAACTGTCTCCTCAAGTGCAGAGGTGGCAAGTTGTACGTGTGTTAACCTACTAATTGGATAGCAAATAAAAATGTGAACAGGATCGTTACCTTTACCAACAGGAAAACAATACAGTGTTTGCATGTCCTAAGAATGAAACATTTATACTTTGTTCTTTTGTTCTGTAAAACAATCCTATTAACTTGACCTGAAGAGGAGAATGGTGCATGTTTTCTGCTTTGCCTTGTCATGACTGCCTGAGCTTTTTGCGAATAGGCCAAATCTAAGGCTCCTAATATACTTTCATGTACATAGTAGTTTTAGAGAGGATACGTTTTGCATTTGCAAATATGCAGATAGACAGTTATGCAAGGTCTGTATGCTATAGACTGATCAGATATGGTGATGTGTAAATACATACAGTACGTGAGCTGAATTATTTCTGTGAAGTTGAGAGGAGCATGCTTTTGAAATAAAAGTTCATACTGTGACCGAGAGGATTTAATAGTGGGAAATGTGAACTACGTAAGAATGAAAAACAAGGATTTAATTAATACAGCCAGAAGTTCCTGAGTTCTTATTGTACTCTTCAGTTACATTTTAAGCAAGAGGTACAAAGAGAATATCGTTGAACTGTGTTGTGAAAGTTAGAGTATTTGAGGAGAATTTTTTCTGTGTGTTTGGAAGAAAGGAAAAAACTTTCAATTGCTTTCCTTTCACTGGAATATTTTTACTTCTAAATGCTGATAAAATACCTCTTTTTTTTTTTTTCCCCCCCAATATTTCAGTTGAAGTATCAAAAACCTGATACTTGTTTGTACGAAAACAAAAATGTAGAAGAAAGTGACCAGGGCTCAGAGAGACACTTAATTTGCAGCAGAGGTCCTTTTCAGACTGGGCCAGTTTAGCTACCAATCCTTATGCAGCTAATGGAAGATGCAGGTTCCTCCAAAGAGTACAATCTCAAGCACTGTTTGTTGCCTGCTTTGACGCTGCTACACCCCATCCAGTGGCCTTAAGGGGTGATGAGTGTGGTTGGATGAGCAAGGCAAAGCATTGAAGGTAGGCTCCACCTCCTGTAAGAAATCCATGAGAAGAACTGTGTGTATCCACCATTGTTGGTGTCCACCTTTGTCCTGGGCTTTAAGCGTTCCTGGGGAGGTGGCTAAAGGCCACCACTTTGCCACATCTGAAAGTCTCCTAGGCACAGAGAGAAGGTTTCTCCACCTGTGCTGCGGATCCTGAGTCCCTTGGTAGCTGGACATGTGTCAGGATATGCTCTGGAGAAGGTTAAGAGGAACAGGGAATTCCTACCTCTGCTCCGGGCACTGAGGGGAGCAGAAGACTTAGATTCTTCCCTGGTTTTAGGGCTGTTCTTGTCTTTTGACTGCAGTCTAACATACAACACCCAAATAGCCCTTGACTAGATCATCAGTTATGTCCTGGGTTTCAACTGTAACAGTAATTTTTCTCCTTCTTAGTACCTGGTGCAGTGTTTGTAACTCTCTTTAGTCAGGTATTGCTTCAGGCCTGCTGGGATACACACTTCATAAAAAGAGAATATTCATGCTGGGGGTTGGGAGGGACTTTTTTTAAAATCCCTAAGGGGACGTTCTGTCAAAGAATGGGTGTCAGCTTCCCAATGCATCTCTAAGGGCTTCTGTGTGGGCAAGGAATGAATACTGATCCCAGTTTTAGACTGGAAAGTTGATGTTGCCTTATAGTTGGAGTGCATTTTGTACGTATTATAGATATTTGTCTTAAAATGAGTAAATTAGGGGGCAAACCTGGAGATGTGTGATGTTTCTCTAGCTTCTCTTAGTACTTCCTGTAAATATCTACAATGATACTTTGCCATTGTTCACATTTTCAGACTTCTGTGACAACGTTTGTTATTTTCTTTCAACATTTGGTCTCAAAAAAAGAATTGGATGAATTTGTGAGGATGATGATTATGTGATGTCCTTTTCCACCAAATGGATGACACAAGACCTTTGTGGAACATTTTAAATGCCCAGCTGGGCAACTGCAAAGTGCAGTTATTTCTGGAGAGTCGTAAGGAACTGGCTGATTCCTTAGAACAGAGCATATGGCAATTTAGCGATTGGATTAGAGCTGTAATTTGGCTATATCAGACCCAATACCAATTATATTTCTTTTTTTTTCATTCAAATATCTTTTAAGTTTCAAGGCGTTGTGACATACTGAAGTTTTCTCATTGAAGAGAGAGGACTGTGTATTTCTTTGT